AAACACTCATCCATGTGCACACATATCATGATGGAGCTGTCCGATTGGCTTTTTTGATTTTATATATTAATCTAATAATATTTACTACACCATAACACTGAGCTTTACAGAATTGATTTGCCCAAAATTTTGGTGATTTCAGGTTTTACAAACATTGCGAGTATTTGATCCCTAAAGTATTTTGGTCTTTAGTTCATAGACTAACACCTTGTCTACATTGGACGCAACAGTTGTCGTGTCGCGCCGTGCCGCAACAGCTAAAATCTGTCTACACTGGACACGACAAAGCGGCCATTGAAAATCATTTTAAATTTGTGTCAGTACATCATAAATAGAACGCAGCAGCAGTTTACTGTCGGGAATTTGTTGCGCCGCGCCGCATCCAGTGTAGACAGCATAATATGTTGTTGTATTTTGTCACGTTGCGCCACTCACATCCGGTGTAGACACGGTGTTTGAAGTATATTTAATTTTTACTAGCTAATACCATCCTCACATATTTTTGAAGGGGTTAACTGTATTTGTTTTCTTCAGAGTACAGAAGTGAGGTTGTAAATGAGCTGTATGCGTTAAGAAGATGTCTGCGCAGTGAACAGCGGCATCTGGAGGAGCAGCTCTTGCAGACGGAGTGGGATCATCTCCCCTCCCCCCTCACTGACAGGTACAGTATACAGTGTGTTTGTGTGTTGATAGTTAGCCACATGTGACCTGTTAGTCAATCTGTACATGAATACAGCTGGTCACTACAGTTGTACTGTCAGAGGCAAAAGCATCAGTCTTTCCTGGTCTTGGCCTGTTTGTACTGGTTTTAGCTGGTTTTGCTAAATGATCTGTTTTTTATAGATTTTTCATCGCTGGAAAACTCTTTTCCATTGTGATCTCTCAAACTAATGGTTTATAATTTTGCTTTCTGGAAGGAAATTATGCTTTGGAATGATCTCTACAGCAATATTCCCGATGGATACACCCTAAAAGGAATCAGAGTAATAAAAATGTGATGTTTGTGTTTTTTTTTTTACATGACATAAATACGCCCAATGAATTCCAGGAATGCACTGGGTACAGGATTGATCTAAAAGATACACACATATAAATAAAAAGCAACCTAAATGGCAGCTTAGCTGGTAGAAATAGGCTACATGTTTTTCAGACTTTTAGTTTATGTTTTCTAGTCTTAGCCAAGGTAAGGTTTTCAATCAGTTTGTTTGGTTTCCAGTTTAAAATACTTAAAAGTATCCAAAAAAAAATTATATTTTATATATATAAAATACATACCAATACATACTTATTGGTCAGTATGGCTACATCAATATACCAGTGAAAAAATTGTTCTCTACTGTATGTGCAGCACTCATATATATACAACACATTATGTTATATCCTCTAGAAAAAGTTAAAATTTTCTTGATTACACTTTAATAAATGTCTATATTTTATTATGCAGTCACTGTTTTATCAAGTCAAGTCACCTTTAATTATCATGGCACTTTATACAATACAGATTGTGTCAAAGCAGCTTTACAGTGTTAAACAGGAAAACGTTGCATTAATGCAAACACAATTCAATTCTGCTGTAAAGCAGCTCTAAAAACAGGACAATAGTAAACAGTAGTTTTATAAAAGCAATATTGTGAATAATCATAACTAAGAGAGCTGCAGGCACTCCAGCATGCCTAATAACTTTAACTGTGACCGTTTTTCATGTGTGTTTGTAGGCACAGGACGGATGTGTTTGACATGGCTCATTTGCGTATGCCTGTGCGAGGCCCCTCCGCCCGTGGCACTGAGCCAATCAGCTCAAAGAGAGCTGATGACATCATGTACAGGGGTAAGAACTGGCTGGCTAATACCAATATAAATCTGAGCTATGAGGATTGTAGTTACTGAAATAAATATTAATTTATGAGTTCTTGTAGTTCCTTCAATATATAGCAGGTCAAATCATACTAAAGTCATTTGTAGTTGGCTAAAAATAAATATTATGACTTTAAAATGAGAGCTCAATTTAATGTTTGGTCTTATGTAATTCCATCTTTTGTGATGAAACTGACACATTTTTTCCCACATTTCTCAGATGCCTTTATGCCTGGAACACGGCAGTCTGTAAGTTTTCCTTTTTCACTGTGAATGTAAGGTGTGCTTGTTACTTCCTGTTCTTGTTATTTTCGTTGTGTTCTGCAGTACTAGATGCAGCTCCATCAGCACTGATAACATGGCAGTTCTGTTTTTCTATCACACAGAGGAACAGAGATGTTGAGGGCGGACGAGGATCTGTGCTTCTGTCAGAAAGTGAATTTATTGGTGGGATCACACATTTCTTTAACTGCTTGATGAGTGTAACCAGTGGCCCCAAGATTTGTTTGGACACTTAAGGCATACTTAAAAACATTTGTTTAATGTCTTTGCATTATATAAGAAAACATCAAACCAAGTGACATTTATTTTAAAGAAAAATATGAACACTTTATCACAAGATGATATTTATTTTCATAATGTTATATATCACTTTCTCATACATCTGTTTTTTGTTTGTTTGTTTGTTTGATTACACACTGTTGACTGCTTGCTGGCGTACAGTTATCTTATTATTTATCATTAGATCAGAATGGACTTGCTTTCCCAGTTCCTCCAGACAGTGAGAGGAAATCTGCTATGCTGTCTGCACGAGAGCGACGCAGACTGGCAAACCTTCGGGTAATTCACACTGAAACATCTAAACATATGTCTGTATAGTGACGGCAGATTTCTTCTCCTTTTCAAACTCTTACAGACTAAAGTGCAATTAATACCGACAGAAATGCACTGCATTTTTTTATCAGTTTTTTCTTCACGTGTCAGTTCATTCATTATTAGATATTTTGGACAAACATGAGCTATGTGATTAAAAGAATTCATGAACAATTCATGATATGCAATATTTCAACAATTTTAAACAAACAAACAAAATCATTTTCAGAACCATTATTTTGCTTAGCCAACATCCACCAAATCTCACATTATGTATTCTAGAAAACATACTGTGGTGGAAATTATGGAACTGAAAATAACATTTAACACTTCTGGAATAAAATAGCAGACTCCATAGCTAGCATTTTGTGTACCCTAAATACAAATAATATTTTTTGAATAATTTGATTTTTAAATATTTTTTAAATTTGATAAAGTTATTGGAAATGATTAATAATGTTCTGTTCACAATATATTTGCAATGTTCTGTTGTTTTTAAAATTTTGTTTTTGAATCAGTTAGTTTTAGTTGATAGTGAAGAAAAAGCAGACAACAAGTGGCCACCACCACCAGGATTTACATATGCATAATTTATATATGATGACTTCAATATAATTCTAAAGTATGGAAAATAGTCATCATAAAGCATGATATAATAAACAGTGTATATGTGTGTGTTTAGTCTGCAGAGGGGAAGCCAGTGCTGCTGCAGTCCTTCAATATGAGGAAGCTCAGAGACACAAACACTCCCAGGATGAAGAGACTACAAGCCTTCAGCCATCACAACACCACAGCAGGTGTGTGTGTGTTTGTCTTTGTCTCTGTGTATGTTTTATGATTCTGGAGATGCACAACTTATTTCAATTATGTGTTTAGGAGTCTGCTCTGATGACGATGATGAAGCAAGTCGTGGTGATGAGCATTTTACCCTGCAGTCTTGATATGCAATATTTCAACAATTTTAAACAAACAAACAAAATCATTTTCAGAACCATTATTTTGCTTAGCCAACATCCACCAAATCTCACATTATGTATTCTAGAAAACATACTGTGGTGGAAATTATGGAACTGAAAATAACATTTAACACTTCTGGAATAAAATAGCAGACTCCATAGCTAGCATTTTGTGTACCCTAAATACAAATAATATTTTTTGAATAATTTGATTTTTAAATATTTTTTAAATTTGATAAAGTTATTGGAAATGATTAATAATGTTCTGTTCACAATATATTTGCAATGTTCTGTTGTTTTTAAAATTTTGTTTTTGAATCAGTTAGTTTTAGTTGATAGTGAAGAAAAAGCAGACAACAAGTGGCCACCACCACCAGGATTTACATATGCATAATTTATATATGATGACTTCAATATAATTCTAAAGTATGGAAAATAGTCATCATAAAGCATGATATAATCAACAGTGTATATGTGTGTGTTTAGTCTGCAGAGGGGAAGCCAGTGCAGCTGCAGTCCTTCAATATGAGGAAGCTCAGAGACACAAACACTCCCAGGATGAAGAGACTACAAGCCTTCAGCCATCACAACACCACAGCAGGTGTGTGTGTGTTTGTCTTTGTCTCTGTGTATGTTTTATGATTCTGGAGATGCACAACTTATTTCAATTATGTGTTTAGGAGTCTGCTCTGATGACGATGATGAAGCAAGTCGTGGTGATGAGCATTTTACCCTGCAGTCTCCTGGCAGGCCCAGCTCCATTGATACTGCCACTACCGAGCCCTGGATTCGAGCAGAGACATCAGACACGCTCAGAAGGCTGATGTCTGGCTCTGAACTTTAAGACGGGCCATAATATACATGACCGCACATGCTCAGAGTGTGTGAGCACTTTATTGCAATGCAGTATATATATGATATTTTATGTAGTCTTCAGATCTCTTAAATAAAAGACTGATCAGCGGAATCTCTACAAGATCAACTGCTTTAACTGCATCACAAAATCTCTTCTGTGAACTGATTTGTGGATCCATGATATCAAGTAGTTACTTTTAACAAAATACAGAGGGAATGATACATTTCTAATCTTTCTGGGCTTTTTTTGTGGTATTTTGTTTCCAAGACATAAATACTTTTTAGCATTTTGACAGCATTTTAAAGTGTTTTTACACCAGGATTCACCAGAGTAAATAATATATTGAAAGCAACATAATCCTGATTGCTTGGAGGCTTACGGCCTGTTCAAACCAAGGATGATAACTATAATGATAATGTTCTCAAAATCATTCAGAATTTTAAAATATTAAATGGCGAAGTCTACACATCTACTGTATGAAAGGGGCACTTTCAGCATGATTTTTTTCCCAGTTGATGAATGATAAAAAATATTGACAGCCAGTCAGAATCCATATGATATTAAAGAGTGGCATATGACATCAGCGGATGCTTATAATTAAGGAGAAACTTATTGTCCCTTGGTGTGAACACTAATATAGTTATCCTTGGTGTGAACGGCCCTTTAGAGTGAATGACATGCGTGAGAGAAGCATATTCATTCTGCACTTATTTAAACCATTTCGAGACTGCAGACAAACCACGGCTAACAAAGCCCGGCAAGATCAATTCTGCTGCAGCACCGATACCATCCATAATCCGGCTGACTGCAGATGGTTTTGACTCCTCTTCTTTATGCATTTCTGATTTTAAGCGGTCAATCTGCCTCTGCATCTGGGAGGCTTGCTCCTGTAAGCCATTCTGTAGAAGAGCGTCCTTCTCCTGCAATACAACACAAACAGCCACAAGTGAAAGAATTGCTAAGTGACTTTGACCTTTGAAGGTGACTTCTCTGGAACAAAGTGAAAGTTTTGAAAGAAAGTATCCTGTTCTTACTCTTAGTTTGGCTTCCAGGACTCGTTGATTGTCTCTTCTCATTCTCTCCTGCTCTCTTTCCATCTGACTAATGGTCTGATTCACATGTTCCTTATGGGTTCTCTGCATGTCTTTAAACGCCTGCTCCTGTAAGCAGTTCTGTTCCTCTAGACCTCTTTGCCGCTGCTCCAGAATCTCATTCTTCAACCTCTGCACTGTATAATGAAAGAGAGACAGTATAATGAACTAATTCTGATGTAGACTTAAGACAAGTGGAAAATCAATTGCTGAGTTTGTCTATCACAGTTCTTTGTTGTCATTGTACTGTCTTGTGTATCATTGAGAGCATTGACTGATCGTGGACAGATAGAGAAGTGTGCAGCTGATTTGAATTGTACCCTCTTTTTCCTGTTCTGCTGCACTCAGAGATTGGTCAGCTCCTAGAATCATATTCCCAATATCTTCCTTTGCTTTCAAAAACTTGCTCAACACTTCTTCACTCTATGAAAAAAAAGATGTCCGGTCATGTGCTGTATGTAATGCATACCACTGTTGTTTTTGCTACTAAAACTTAAAATTTGTTTTTGTTCATTGAAATAAAATATACATGAAAAACAAACAAACAAAAAAATTTAAGTTAAAGTTAAAAATGTTGCTTTGGCTGTGATCAGTAGAGTAGTACTGTAAAAGTTTCATTAAGAACTTAAAAGCACCTGAGTCTTAAGTCTTTATCTGACCCAGTGGAATGAAATATTCTAAATTCTTATTTGTGTTTCATGTCTGCATGTTATTTTTTGTCTTTATCAGCATTAAAGATGATCAGTGCTGTTGTGACCGTCCAAAACAAAGCAAAAGCAAAGTGGGCATGTGTGAACTGTACCATTATTTGTGAATGTGTTCTTGCTCTGTAGTCATTGGTCAGCTGTGTGAGCGTGTCTTTGTACTGTCGGTATCCTCCAGGTCTCAGGTATGATCCATCAACAACACTTTCTTCCAGTGTATCAAACACCTCACACAGAATAGCTTCACACTGCTGGACAGATTCTTCCTGATTCTGCTGGCATATCTGTTGATATTCATCATACATTTTCCCCTAAAACAAGTGAAAGAAACAGAAAATGTGAGAAACTCTTAAATTTGTGCTCTACATTTGCAAAGATGTACTGTTCATTTTGTTCACAGTTTTTTGTGTCAGCTGGTACCATGAGCTCTTGCTGGTAGATCTGGTCATTGTCATTGAAGGACATGATGATGAAAACGTCAATGGCCTTCTTCTCTGTGACTGTGTGGATGTCGGACAGCTCTTCTGGGCACATAGGAAGCTGAGCAATGCTGAGCATCTCAGCCATGTAGAACTGCAGGGCCTGTTCCACTGCACGGACATTCTGGATCTTAGCCAGAGACACAACTGCATTCTCCAAACAAGGAACCTTACCACTGCGGATCGCTTCGACATAAACTTCAGCAAGATTACCCAGAGCTGTCAGGAAACACAACTCCTTAGTTCAGTCATCTGTTTTTTTGTTTTTTCACATTTTCATTGATCTCTGCAGATAGTTTTTTATCGGCTTAAAGCTGCTGTAAGTGATTTTGGAACAACACCCAAAATGTAAGAAAAGAGTTTGGTGCAGTACTTTGTGTTTGGAAGACAGAAAAGTGTTTGGGAAAATATACAAAAAAGTCGATAATACTATCGATAAAAAAAGCACTCAGCCAGTAATCAATATATTGTGCATCACTAATATTTAGATTGATATACAGTATATAATGTCTAAAAAGAGAAATTTACAACAGTAGTTTTATAAATTTGTTTTTCTGCAAGGGTTTCTATGAAAGTACACACCTGTTCCAGTAATTGTACGGCCTCCGGTGACAGTTTTTGGATCCGCACTGTCAAAAATGTAATGGCAGAAGGTGTTTGCCTGCTCAAGGAACTCTGAATCCAGTTCTTTCTCGGTCAGTTCCTCCATTCTTCTCATGTTTTGCGTACTAGCAGGCCGAGGCAACACAAAGCACTTCCTCACCGCAAAGAAATGGCGCAGACAGCGGCGGGGCAGGTTGTACTGCTCAGTCTGAGGTGAGCTACCTAAAATAAGAAATAACATTACAAAAAAAGCAGTAAAAATTTGGACTGCTACAGTGTATTATATTTACAATAATTACTATTCCTTGCTGAATAGAACAGCATAGACTAGCTTATTTTGCCATGTTCTTCAGCGGGGGGTTTTCAGCAGGGATATTCATTCAATTTTGTGCTTGAATATGGCACAGCTGAAGGTAATGAATGGATAGTGTATATTGCATTTACTTTGGATGTTTAATGCTAGCTCTTTATCTCACCTGATTTGAGTGTCAATGCACTCTCCAGATACTCGTCTGATGTTATTTGCTTATTTCCCATTTTCAGTTCCAAAGTAAAGTCACGAACAGCCCAGACAAACGATGGAAAAACACGCATGAAATCTGCCGACGACTCCTCATGTTGACCCACTTCTGCCTTCACACGAATGTTCTCTGTCAGCTCTGTAACGTAGCTACATTCAGCGCTGTTCAGGAGGAATAACACTGCTGCACTGATAGAGTGTTTTAAATGTATTACTCTGGATGCGCATGTTTTTTTTCTGTGTGAAAAGGATACTGCAGCTTTTCCAGTGCCGTGTTGTCAATGACCCCTAAACTGTTGTACACTATAGTACTGCTGAGAAGAACCGACAGACAGAAGATCCATGTGTCATGTTTCTCATCCCCCTGAAATATTAAGAGACTGTCAGCTACAATAAGTAGATATATATATATATATACACAGTGCTGTTTAAAAGTTTGTGAACCCTTTAAATATAACCCAAAACATCATCAAATTTTCACAGAGGTCCTGAAAGTAGACAAAGAGAACAAAGACAATATATATATATATATATATATATATATATAATACAACATGTTTACATTGCCGAACAGTGTATGTTGTTTAAACGATGTGTCAAAGATTTCTAAAATAGGTATCACACACTATATTTGACCTCAAATCTAAAAGTCATTCATCCTTAATGGAATTGATAGATGTGCTAATTAGTCGGTACTTCAGGGTTGTGTGAGTGTGGAGTTGGGTTGATGATAAATGACACTTCGTTTAAACGTGATTTTATATTGAAGTAGGCTACATTTACAGTTTTTTAATCATTTATTGACTTACCGATAGTTGGACGACGTAAAATATCGTGTTTAAAACACCGTTAGCGAGGTCTCTGAATTGGCTGCTGTATACCTCTTAAAACTTTCAACACAACCGGAACAAAAGGCTTGAAAACCCCTTAGGCTCCTCCTGTGAGATACTTCGTTATCTTTTCCACCATAAATGGTACAGAGACGGGGCGTGTTCTCTCATTGGCGAATCGGTGATACTGACACGAAAGTGAAACTAAAAGTGAAACAACACAGGTTCGGTTCGATCACTGAAATCGACCGTTTACCGTCAAGTCAGCTACAGAACAATATGGGCGGATACTGAGAAACAACCTCATCGTTGTGGTAAATAAGACCCATAAACTTGACTGTGCGCACAGAGAAGTATCGCGGAGGGAGAGAGAGCCTCGTGACCATCTGTACTCTAAAGTAGAGTCAATACATTTTAAATTTAAGGTTACGTAAGTGAACTTTATTTTATTTATTCTTTTCTTTGGTATTTATTCAAAAACAAATGTAGAACATCCATTCAAGATTTTCAATTGTGCAAATGTACATTTTGTTTACAATCTGATTTTAAATTATATATTTTTTTTTAATGAATATTTAACGTTTATTTTAACTTTGAATTACACACTCTAATTATGTGAGTATCTGAAGGAGTGTGGTTACTCTGAAATTTATGGGCTTGGAAAACCTAACAGGAACCCATTCAAATCTCAGGACGTTTGTTGAGTCATTCTGTCGTGCTTTTGAATCGCATGATGTTGACCAAAAGATGTCAGACCTCCCATAAACCAGGGCTGCCAACTTTTGAGTTTAACTAGGAGTGAGAATTCCTATAGAGGGTGGAGTTGGGGTTGAAAAAAAAACCTGTCTGCAGAGTTTTGTCTGACAGACATGTTAAAGTCATATTGTGTTTTTACAAAACAAATAGGCTTAACTTTTCACCACAAGAAGAATAGCAATGTACAGTGAGCAGGATGTACAAGTAATTGCTTTTACAAATAATTGCAACCGCATTTCAAAAATATTTTGATACAAAAAAAAGTATTGTCTGCATTTACATCCATTTTGACAAATTATATTTTTCTCCCATCCATTGCTATGATTATTACTATGCCAATCATTGAAAAATGTGAAAGTGAAATCTGCCAAACTTTTATTCAAATTCTGAATAGATTATATGTAGCCTAAAGAGCGCTTCCTTTATAATCACTAAAAAGCTGTAACTCACTTCAGTTCATCGCGATCTCACAAAGTTATGTTATTGAAGCTATCTACACTGCACAATGAGTCTCTTACATTGTGTATAAACCTTGTTACAATGAGAGAAATCACGAGCATGAAGAATTCCGGAGTCTTAAAAAAAATCCAGTGTATGAACAGCAAGTGAATTCTTATTCATTTGAAAGCAGTGGCCAATCAGGGCTGCGTTCAGCCCCGACAAAAACGGTGCAAAATGTTTTTTAAACGGAAACGGTGGTGCATTGAACACCCTGTTCTGATGACGCAAGAGTTGCAACTATGGCAGCTGAGAAGGCCATTCTTTGTGTTCTTTTTGAAGAATTTTCGGAGCCTGATGAAATCGGTATAAATACGTGTTTAATACTGCAAAATACGCTCGATGTAACAGTCACTGCCCTTGCCCTCCAGAATAAAGGAGAATATCCCAATACAGTGAAGGGGTTTGTGGAAACTGTGGTTCTTAAATTATTGTGATCCAACATTTGTCTCGCATTTCAGGATGAAAAGACAAACATTTCAGGTGAAGGATAATCCACTTCTTACCTCCAAGACTGTTATGATCTATATGACCTTATTATTTTTATTGTGAGTATTCGGCTTATTATTTATTTATTCTTTTCTTTGGTATTTATTCAAAAACAAATGTAGAACATCCATTCAAGATTTTCAATTGTGCAAATGTACATTTTGTTTACAATCTGATTTTAAATTATATATATTTTTTTAATGAATATTTAACGTTTATTTTAACTTTGAATTACACACTCTAATTATGTGAGTATCTGAAGGAGTGTGGTTACTCTGAAATTTATGGGCTTGGAAAACCTAACAGGAACCCATTCAAATCTCAGGACGTTTGTTGAGTCATTCTGTCGTGCTTTTGAATCGCATGATGTTGACCAAAAGATGTCAGACCTCCCATAAACCAGGGCTGCCAACTTTTGAGTTTAACTAGGAGTGAGAATTCCTATAGAGGGTGGAGTTGGGGTTGAAAAAAAAACCTGTCTGCAGAGTTTTGTCTGACAGACATGTTAAAGTCATATTGTGTTTTTACAAAACAAATAGGCTTAACTTTTCACCACAAGAAGAATAGCAATGTACAGTGAGCAGGATGTACAAGTAATTGCTTTTACAAATAATTGCAACCGCATTTCAAAAATATTTTGATACAAAAAAAAGTATTGTCTGCATTTACATCCATTTTGACAAATTATATTTTTCTCCCATCCATTGCTATGATTATTACTATGCCAATCATTGAAAAATGTGAAAGTGAAATCTGCCAAACTTTTATTCAAATTCTGAATAGATTATATGTAGCCTAAAGAGCGCTTCCTTTATAATCACTAAAAAGCTGTAACTCACTTCAGTTCATCGCGATCTCACAAAGTTATGTTATTGAAGCTATCTACACTGCACAATGAGTCTCTTACATTGTGTATAAACCTTGTTACAATGAGAGAAATCACGAGCATGAAGAATTCCGGAGTCTTAAAAAAAATCCAGTGTATGAACAGCAAGTGAATTCTTATTCATTTGAAAGCAGTGGCCAATCAGGGCTGCGTTCAGCCCCGACAAAAACGGTGCAAAATGTTTTTTAAACGGAAACGGTGGTGCATTGAACACCCTGTTCTGATGACGCAAGAGTTGCAACTATGGCAGCTGAGAAGGCCATTCTTTGTGTTCTTTTTGAAGAATTTTCGGAGCCTGATGAAATCGGTATAAATACGTGTTTAATACTGCAAAATACGCTCGATGTAACAGTCACTGCCCTTGCCCTCCAGAATAAAGGAGAATATCCCAATACAGTGAAGGGGTTTGTGGAAACTGTGGTTCTTAAATTATTGTGATCCAACATTTGTCTCGCATTTCAGGATGAAAAGACAAACATTTCAGGTGAAGGATAATCCACTTCTTACCTCCAAGACTGTTATGATCTATATGACCTTATTATTTTTATTGTGAGTATTCGGCTTATTATTGCTGATCACTGTTGTTGTGCTATGATATTGTAATATTTACCATTATATAATCAGAGGGGTATAGAAAAGTTTATGAAAGTGTCACTCAATACAATAGCAAAATATATAAATATGTATAGTATTTTTATGTTACATTAATCAATATTTAGCACACTTACCTAAGGAAAGGATATGGACCAGAAGATATTTAAACAAGTTCCAGATCTATACTTGTGCTCATATTATTTTAGTTATTTTGCCTTTAATGTAAATAAACATGTGCAAACAATATATTTGCTCTTGTGAATTTATTTTGATGTTAATTACATTGTGCGAGCTGTCTCTTTAATACTGCGTGGTTTACATACATGTTGCTGCTGA